GCATGTGGTGCTGGGGGATTGAACCGCAGTCCCTGTGCTTTGCTAAGCTTGTTCTAAGTAGGTGCTTTAGACCACTGAGCCATCTCACCAGCCCCAATGTATTAATTATTGAAACTGCTAGTAATTCATTTTGAAACTGTTTCATTGCCATTTGTTTCTCAATAAAATTATTTTTTTTAAAGTGGCTATACAGGCTACTGGGACAAGAGCTTAAAAAAAAAAAAAAAAAAACCAAAAAACTATTTTGTCCTTGCTTTACAAAGCAGCACTTGTGAAAATCAGATGAAATTCTCCTCTGAAAGGTTTGTCTTTGCAGTTTCTGTAAGATGTACTGCCCCAGTTGAGAGTGTTTCTCGAAATGAGCTTAACAGGAAGCCCATCAGGAAGTTGCCCTTGGTAGTACATTTCCCCTCCCTTGCTAACACATCATCCTCTGCATCGTTCTCAGCTTTCTAACCTCTGTAGACTCACTTCACTAGTCTAGTTGTAAGGAATAGTTTATTTAGTTAGATTACAAATCAGTATTCTAGTTAGAAAAAGGGCCTGAGGCAGAGTTAGGAAGGCTTGGATAAGAGTTAAAATGCGACTAGACAATGTTCTAAGACTTTGAACTGAGAGTGAGCTTTCTGCCCAACAAGGAATGCAGACTTCTTCCTAGTAAATGGAATCACAGTCGCTGCACTCTAATCACCTCAGTTTTTAGACATTTAAGACAACTAATCTTTCTCTATGCTTAAGCCCTGCAAGCTGAGGAAGTTGGTTACGGAGCCTGAGATTAAAATGCTTGTTTTTGACAGCATGGTGGCTTATGTCTGTAATTCCAGCCTATCAAAGACTGAATGATTGTGAAGTTTGAGGCCAGAGTCAGGACTACATAGTGAGTTGAAGACCACTCAGCTGTACAACTAGACTCTGTGTCAAAAAATTAAATTCACAGAGCCGTGTGTAAGTGGTGTCCACTGAACAAATGAACAATGGCTATGTTCTACTTGTCATTCACTCTGATGTGCACTTATGTGGCCAAGCACTTAGGGTGCTTCCTGAAAATCAGGGAGCTATTCTCATTTCTTCTTTTGGTTCAGGACCTCCTTCCTCAATATTGTTAGATTCTGAGCTTTTATGCAGCAAAATCATTACCAGTAGAGATCTCATATTAATAACTCAAGCAATTACTTTCTTTTTGCTGAGGACTGAACCCAGGTTTTCATCACATCTGTTGTTCTATTCAGACTGGTACAGATACAGCTGTGCCTGGGGCTGCCCAAGATGGCATTCTGGGTTGGCTGTGGCAGTGTGGTGAATATGCTGGGACCTGGAAATGTCCCTGCTGAGCAAAGAATAGAAGGGATAGCCAGTGATGCAGGACCAAAGACATAGGAAAGCCTCAGGAGACGGAGCTAAGCAGGGAGGAAGGAGATTGCTAGTTCTGGCCACTTCCTTCCAGGACTCAGTTTCATTCCATTCCCAGCTCCCATCCCATTCCATCACCTGCATGTGGCCTCTGGTTTTCTGAGGGGCCTTTGTGGTCTGTAATGAGTACAATTTATACAGAAAGGTGGCCTAATCATCTGAGGAGTTTCAGCAACACACTCGCTGTGTACACTGGCACTATGGCAGATTGGCACTATGGCAGATGACGTGCCCTCCTACCTTGGCCTTCCTCATTGGGTGATTCTGACCACTTATACCTTCATCTCTGATTGGCTCTGCTTTATTACCAGTCAGCTGAGCTGAGCATGACAAGATTAACCAGTCTCTTCCAGGAGGAGCAGAGCAAGTGATAGCTTGTAAATCAGGAACTAGTGGACCCGTCTTTCTCCTAGGATTCCAGTTTCACCTCACCTGAGGAGCACTTGCATTTAAAAGCTTTACTCCTGGCTTTTCAAACCTGCCCTGGTTTTCCTAATAGGCTCAATGGATTCATATAGAATGTAGATTACAACTGTGCTCAGAAGGTTCTAGGGTTATTATTGTATGGAACAATTTTCTCTTGATGACTGAAAACATTCTGATTCCAGACGAGCTCAGGACATAATGAAATGGGGAGGGAAATGCTGTTGGTAATAATGTGGTTGCCTACACTGCCAGGATAGTCACACTGTCTCCCTCAAGATACTCAGCTTCTTTCAACTAAATTAGTGTATCTCTATCAAAAGGAAAAAGATGTGTAAATGAAATGAGGGATAAATTATAGGAAATTTTTGTAAAAGAGTAAAGATAAAAAAAAAAATTCAACTCCCTCAGACAAGCTTCATTCTGTTTCCAGTGTCATGAAACCTACCTTAAGTCTGGAGGTAACCACAGCCAAGCTTGAGCGAATGAATGCTAAAAAAAACCACCATACCTGATCACTTCCTGGAAATGAGACTGAGATAGAATGGACTTTAGACTCTAAGCAAAAACTTATGTAAAGAGACTGGTGAGATGGCTCAGTGGTCTAAAGCACCTGCTTAGTAAAGCACAGGGACCTCGGTTCAATCCCCCAGCACCACATGCCAGCCAGCCCCGCCCCCTGGTGGGCTGAGCTGGCCACACACACACACACACACACACACACACACAAATAAATAAAATTTTTAAAAAAAACTTAAGTAAATATTTTAATGTTAAATTTATTGAGCTAACTGGAAAGTAATGCAAGTTACCTCTGCTCTCTATTATTATAAGAGATGCTCAAAGTGGCAGCCATCATCTTCCAGATAGTTAGTATATGAACTCTTGAAATATGCATTCAATTTCTGGTTCTCACTCTTTCCATGCCCGAACTCTGTCATCAGCTCAGTGTGCAGCATGTGGGACCTGGGATCGAACCCTGGTCCCGGTGTTTGCCAAAGCAGGTGCTTTTGCTGCTGAGCTATCTCACTGGACCATGGCCTCACCTTAAAGGTATGACCTATCTACATCATAACATTGATCAGTTAAATAAGACAAGAACGTTGAATTCAAATCTTTGAATATGACTTTGATTCATACTATGTTAACTGATAAAGTTGAAAGGAAAATGCTAAGATACTTTATGTGGATTTAAACTATACCTCTGAGAAGACAAAGAAGTCTACAGTTAACTTTTTTTTTTTTTTTCAGAACTGGGAATTGTGGGGGGCCGGGGAGACGGCTCAGTGGAATAAGTGCTTCCCTGGCAAGTGCAAAGGCCTGAGTTCAATCCCCGGTTCCGCAAAAAAAAAAAAAAAAAAAAAGAACTGGGGATTGAACTCAGGCCCTTGCATTTGCCAGGCAAGCGCTTATTCTACCGAACTATCTCCCTGGCCCCTCATAGGGTTTTTTTGGCAACAGTTACTTATTTGGAATCAAACAGTTTAAAAAAGATAACCAAATACTAACTTTTCCCTATTCCTTCAGTACTCTCTACCTCCTAGGTAATTCTTGTTTCCTGGTGCTGTCTGCCTGAGCATGCTTATGTTTTGTTTATCCTTTGAAAGTATCTTTCTACCTGAATTCCATTATCGCTTATCACTGACCCTTTCCGTGGATTTTCTTTAGAACCCTGGGAAGTAAGGTGGAATGCTGACATACTTGCACTCTCAGGGTGCTAGGAAGTCAACACGATTGACTTAATGCAGAAGGTATGCTGTTTATCTTTTGCTTTTATCAGAAAAAAATGATAGCATAAGCACTTGCCTGGCAAGCGCAGGGTCATGAGTTCAATCCCCAGTACCGCCAAAGAAAAAAATGACATTTAATAGGAAATAAGGATCTTTCAATAATAAGAGCAAGAAATCAATGGAAAAATGAGATTGGAAGGGAAAGTACAAAGAATTTAGATGTGTCCTATACATCAACTCTTTCAAAAGAAGAACATGAACAGTATTTACTGCAAATATGAACCCATAAAATTTTTAAATCTTTCAAAATAGATTTGTTGTGACGTCTCATCTTATCAGCAAGCCTTGGAGAAAACATGCTGTCCTACCTGGTGAAGGACACTTTGGGCTGTATCTGAGTGTATCCTTCTAGAGAAATTTATATGTGAGTCACTGATCAGAGTGGGAAACAAGTCATGGGAAAAATGGGTGTCATCCAATGGAGCTGGGCATTGGTGAATTAAAAATGTGGCAAAAAAAAAGCTTCAGCATAATTGAATTTTCTGAAAAAAAGTGATTTATTAATAGTAAAGATCACAGTACATAGATCAGAAATGTAAAAATAGTTTAGCAGGAAAAACACATGAAAATCTTTCAGAGTATCTCCATCTGGGGTGAATTATTGGAAAATGTATAAAAATATTGACATTCAAATTTTTATATTTTTTCTATACTCTCCTTTACATAAATGTTTTCAAAAGAGTTTTATAAATAGTCTTATATATTTAGGGTCTCTCTTCCCTGTGAATTTTTTCACATATTTCATAATACCCATGTATACTGAATACTTTGTAAATTGATTACTTTATATTCTGTCCACTGTGTGACAGTTCTGTCGGTTAGCCTGTCAGCTGAATGTTTTCCCACGTTTTTACATACAGAGTTCTTCTCCAGTGTGTTCTCTTATATTTATAAGAGAGGACCTATGGCAAATTTTTCCCACACTGCATACGTGCATATGGTTTCTCTCCTGAACGCATTATTTTATGTATTTGATGGCATTTTTGTGTACTGAAAAATGCTGTTCATTCTTCAATGTTGTTTATAGGTTTCCCAATATAAATTCCATCATGTATGTAACATTTACTTTGTTGGCTAAAACATATTCTTGTGTTGCTAACATAAATAGGGTTTCTCACAAGTGTGAGTTGCATCACGCTTTGTAACACCTCTGTGCATTAAATGCTTTTCTACTTTCCTTGCCTAAATGTAGTTTCTCCCCAGCATGAATTTTTTCATGTTTTTGACAATGATATTGTCGAGTGAATGCTTTCCCACATTGCTTACATACATAGGGTTTCTCCCCTGTGTGAATTCTTTCATGTACTTTATACTGACTCTGTGTTCTGAATGCCTTCCCACACTGCTTGCATGGATATGGTTTTTCTCCTGTGTGAGTTCTATCATGTATTTCACGAGCTCTCTTGGTATCAAATGATTTCCCACATTTCTTACACACATGAGGTCTTTCTCCACTGTGACTTCTCTCATGAATTAGACAATAATGGTATGTAGAAAACTTTTTCCCACACTGCTTACATACATAGGGCTTCTCCCCAGTGTGAGTTCTTTCATGATTTTGACAGTACTGGCGTCTGCTGAATGCTTTCCCACATTGCTTACATACATAGGGTTTCAATGCAGTGTGAGTTCTTTCATGGCTTTTGTAGTCACTGTTTGTACTGAATGCTTTCCCACATTGTTTGCACACATAAGGTCTTTCCCCAGTGTGACGTCTTTCATGTATTTGACAAGTATATTGTCTAGTGAAAGCTTTCCCACATTGCTTACATACATATGGTTTCTCCCGAGTGTGTGCTCTTTCATGATTTTGACAGTGATCGTGTCTGATGAATGCTTTTCCACATTGCTTACATATGTAGTGTTTCTCCCCTGTGTGTATTCGTTCATGACTGTGACAGTTACTTTTGCTGTTGAATGCTTTACCACAATACTTACACATATAAGGTTTCTCCCCACTGTGAATTCTTTCATGTACTTGAAACTCTTTCTTTTGACTGAAAGATTTCCCACATTGCTTACATAAGTAGGGTTTCTGCCCAGCATGAATTACTTTATGTTTGTTAAAGGACTTACAATGTGCTAATGCTTTCTTATGTACTTTAGAAACAGAGGGCATCTCTCTAGCATGTCTTCTTTCATGTACTTGAATATGGTATGAAGAAGTAAAGGTTTTCCCACATTGCTTGCATACATATGGCGTCCTCATACTGTGATTTCTCTCACGGATTTGAACAACACTTGGTGTATTGGAGCCTTTCAAACTTCTCTTACCTACTAAAGTTTTCTTCCCAGGGTGAGTTTGCACTCCCAGATCACAGCTGGCCTCCCCACATTGTCCATATTGACAGGGTCTCTCCCCAGTTTTTCTTGTTTCATGCTTTTGAAAGGACTGGGAATCACTGCAGGTTTTCTCATGTTCATTACATTGATGTAACTTCTCTCCAAATCTCAAATACTTATCTGCATCATTTCTGTAAGAGAAATGAACAAACTCATTCATCAAAGTGAGAAAGGCATCCATATTAATAACTTAACAAGACAAATTCAGTTTTGATGCCTGCTAAGGAGTTTTAAGGATGAAGCAACTTAAATGTCCTGGAGGGCACCTTCAAGAGACCCATTTTTTTTTTTAAATATTTTATTTTATAATATTTATTTATTTATTTATTTAATTTTGTGTGTGTGTGTGTGGCCAGTTCAGCCCACCAGGGGGCAGGGCTGGCTGGCATGTGGTGCTGGGGGATTGAACCGTGGCCCCTGTGTTTTGCTTGGCTTAGCTTGTTCTAAGTAGGTACTTTAGACCACTGAGCCATCTCACCAGCCCCAAGAGACGCATTTTTTTTTTTTTAACATTTATTTATGTGTTTGTGTGGGGGCAGCTCAGAACACCAGGGGGCAGGGCTGGCTGGTATGTGGTGCTGGAGGATTGAACCGCGGTCCCTGTGCTTTGCTAAGCTTGTTCTAAGTAGGTGTTTTAGACCACTGAGCCATCTCACCAGCCCCCCAAGAGACCCATTTTGAATACAAGTTTTCATTTGAGAATTTGGATTACAGGTGAGCACCACCATACCCAGTCTCAGTTGCCATCTCAGTGCACCCTGGGGGCAGGGCTGGCACAGCATGCCAGCAATCAAACCTAGGGCCTTGCATCTGCCTAAGCAGGCACTTTAATCTGCTGAGCTATCAGCGGCTCACAACAGAAATAGCGACCTGCCCTATTTCTTTATTTGACAAAAACAAATCATTCTTTTTATGGCTGAATATGTAACATAAGCTTTCACTGGTCCAAAGTAAATACAGGTCTTAGACATAATTATCTATCCAGTTTATTATGTCTTGTTTTTCTACTGTACTGCTTACGTACAGTAGATATCCAGCTTATTACTTCCTATTTTTCTGTTTTGTTTTGAGAGAGGGTATCACTATGCAGTTCAGGTTGCCTTGCATTCACTTTGTAGCCCAGGCTGATCTCAAACTCACAATGAACCTTCTGTCTCAGCCTCCTGAGTGCTAGGATTACAGCAGCACACCAGTACACCCAGCCCCTATTTCTTGTTTTGAGAGAGATTCTTATTGATTTTTTTTTTTTTTTTTTGGCAGAACCGGGGATTGAACTCAGGCCCTTGCGCTTGCCAGGGAAGCACTTATTCCGTTGAGTCATCTCCCTGGCCCCATTACTGACTTTTATTTAGGTCAGGCTGAACTTGAAATTGTCATCTTGCTGACTCTTCTTCCCAGAGGGCTAGGGATTAGAATGGCCCACCTTGCTAAGCCTATCACACATTTTCTTCATTCAGACATCCAGGGAGGGCCATCCAAGCTCTTCCCAGAAATTTGCTATTGTGAATTAATTCCAGAACTTAGATATTATAAATACCAATGCATGCCCTCCTTTGAACATCAATAGGTAGGCATGTATATATGTTGCTAAAATTTGATGATTTTACCTCATTACAGATATAGTCAAGAAGCTATAACTGGATCAAATGGAAACTTAGGTTTTACTTTTTGCAACATCTGTATATTGATTGTGTTATTTATTCTTTTCACGTATATCTATGCATAGTACTGAAATGCAACTTCATACATTAAAATCATGATCATGAAAGAATTTTTTGATACTTACATAGGAGATAGTGTTACTTGTTGCATAATGTCACTATTGTCTCAGTTTCCTGTAGTGGAAAGTTTCTGAATTTGATTGCCATATTGTAAAATACAACCTACATACATGGCTGGAAAGTTTTGTGGTACCAAATAAATTTAAAAATGGTTTCATATCTTCATTTTCCTTGGTTGAAACATTTCTGCTCACAAACTGACTCTTGAGAAATATTTCTTTTTCTTAGGAGTGAAAATTACCTTAGGTTTCTCAAACAACTTTTATATTCTTCTTTAATGTGGTGGTTATCCCTGATTCTTCCTGAATTGTAAACACAGAAATATAAAGTCATTATACTATAATATAAATATTAATAGATTCTAGTTAGATTCATGGTATAATGTAAGCAGGTCTGAGATATTCTTGAAAATATTATAACATATTATTTAATTAAACTACATTAGAGAGAAAGAATCAATATTCCATGTTCATATAAGATAGGAAATTTGGGCCGGGGAGATGGCTCAGTGGAATAAGCGCTTCCCTGGCAAGCGTAAGGGCCTGAGTTCAATCCCTGGTTCCGCCAAAAAAAAAAAAGAATTTCATTTGGGACAGTGAGATAGCTCAGTGGTCTAAAGCTCCTGCTTAAGCAAGGTTAGGCAAAAGCGCAGGAACTATGGTTCAATCCCGGGCACCACATGCCACAGTTGCCCCACCCCCAGGGTGGGCTGAGCTAGCCACAAAAAAAAAAAAAAAAAAAGATAGAAAATTATGTCAACCTCACCTATAGCAGTCATATTTGTAAGTGTTTCCCACATCACATCTCTGTAGAGCTTCTTTTGGGCTGGACTCAGGAAGGCCCACTCTGCTGAGGTGAAGTTCACAGCTACATCCTCAAAGGTCACTGTCTCCTGAATAATGACAAGTTTCCTGAAGGTTCACACCCACACTTGAAGATATCACAACTCCTTTCATAAAAACCTGAATTGTGGATGATTCCTTCAAATACTAATTCCATGTCTCGGTCAGCAAAGCTATGTATATGTCAGCATTTTCATTTTTATTTTTTGTATTTTTAGGGAAGGGTCTACAGGGTGTTCAGGGTTTCACTACTAGATCAGACTCGTAGTGATCTACCTGTTTACAGCCTCCCAAGAGCTGGGATAATAGGCACACACCACCATGCCCAGTCTCAATTACTGTCTCAGTGAGCCCCAGGAGCAAGGCCAGCACAGCAGGCACTGGGATTGAACCCCTATTCCTTGCACCTGCTTGCAGGCACTTTAATCTGCTGAGCTATTTGGCCAGCCCTGATGTCAGCATTTTTAGTGATTTTCATGGTAGACTGCCATACATTGGTAAAGCAGAGTAGTAGCACTGATTGTCCTGTGGGGTCACCTACATTGGCCTTGTGCACTGTCTCTAATGCAAAGCTTGGGCTGGGGAGATAGCTCTACAGCATAAGCGCCTGCCTGGCAAGCAAGTCATCAGTACCACATGCTGTGCAGGCCCTGAAGCTCCAGGAGTGGGGTGTGGCCTGGGAGATGGATATGGTGGCATATGCTGTAATCCCAGCATTAGGGAGGCTGAGATAGGAGTATTACTATGAGTCCAAACTGTGTTGAAAGACTCTGCACCAAAATAATAAATAAAGAAAAATAAAGAAAAGCTTATGGAGAGCACCTGCAAACCACTGTACACAACACATGGAGACAGACAAATATCTTTTTTTAAATGTATTTATTAGGGTCTCACGACACAGCTCATAGTGATCCTCCTGTTTTCAGGCCTTCCCAGCACTGGAATTATAGACATGTGGCACCACACCTAGACTGGATGGCTGGCTCAGTGCTCCTGGGAGTGGGGTTGGCATAGCACGTTGTGCCAGGGATCGAACCCAGGTCTCTGCACTTGCCTAAGCAGGTGCTTAGTCCGCTAAGCTATCTCATCAGCCTGATATGCCACATCTGAAATCTCTTTACAAATCTGGTTTTTCATAGAGTCCATCTTTCTCTGTAATTAGGCAGCACTTTGAAACATGAATCTTGGGCCAGGGAGATGGCTCAGCGGAATAAGCGCTTCCCTGGCAAGTGCAAGGGCCTGAGTTCAATCCCTGGTTCCGCAAAAAAAAAAAAAAAAAAAAAACATGAATCTTGTTTCAAAAAAAAAAAAAAAAAACAAAACTGAGCATTAAATAAGACTTGTGAATAATTGATTTGCTAATACAAACTTTTATTGGAGCATGTCTATGGAAAATGAGAATGGCCGGGGAGATGGCTCAGTAGAATAAGTGCTTCCCTAACAAGCACAAGGGCCTGAGTTCAATCCCTAGTTCTGCAAAAAAAAAAAAAAAAAAAAAAAAAAAAAAAAAAGAAAGAAAAAAGAAAAAAGAAAGACGCAGGCCCGGGGAGTGAGTGAGACAACTGGGGCTGCGGGATCCTGAATAGACCCAGAGCGCAGGCCGGGTGAGTGAGTTAGAGGACCCAGGCCCAGTGGGATCCTGAACAGACCCAGAACCCTGGCCTGGCAAGTGAGTGAGACAACCCGGGGCCCATGGATACTCATTTGACCCAGGCTGCAGGCCCAGCAGGGAACCCTTCAGTAGAACTCCCTGCAAAGAGGCTAGAGGCAAGACCCACCCAGGTGATTCAGGAGCAGAACATCTTGCCAGGGAGACACAAAGGGTTCAACTCTAACGCCTGTGGCAGAAAGACGTGGAGCACAGCAGCCAGATCCAAACAACACCCACCTGGTAGAATCTGAACTTCATAGATCCGGACCTAGTGCTAAGGTAATAACTCTATCTAAGCTCTACACCAAAGGTCAGAAGACAGTGGTATACAAAATGACAAAGAGAAGGAACAAAATGCAGTCTCAGGTCCCGAGTCCACCCAGTACAAATGCAGAAGACACTAGCACTGAGGAAACTGAAATCACACACCAGATATCTCTGAAATAATAGCGTTGACAGTAAAGAATCAACTGCAGAAAGGTATAGAAGAAATTAGATCAGAAATAATTTTGGAACTAAAAAATGTAGTGGTAACTATAATCAAAGAAGTACTAAGTGCTTCTAAAGAATAGACTCATAAAAAATATAGCAGAATATAAAAATGATGGAACCCCTGAATAAACAATTTAGGAAAGAAATAGAATCTATGAAACAGGTTCAAAGTGATGTACAGGAAATCAAAACCTCAATCACAAACTGGCAAAACCGTTTGAGGGAAACTGAAAATAGACTTTCTGACCTGAAATACACCATTGCAGCTAGTGAAAAAGTAAGAAAAGATCTCTTTAAAACAACTAAGATGCAGGAAAAAATAATTCAATACCTGCAAGATGATGCAAAGATGAACAATGTGAGACTAATAGGCATCAATGAGAAGGAAGGAGTCAATACAAATGATATAAAAAGAATATGGGCAGAAGTAATAGCAGAAAACTTCCCAAATATGGGGCAACAATCTGACATTCCTGTAACCGAAGCATACAGAACTCCAAATAATATCAATCCAATGAAAACCACACCCAGACATATAATAATCAAGATTCCAAAAATTCAGCATAGGAACAGTATACTAAAAGCCGCTAAAGAAAAGAAACAGATCACATTTAAAGGAAAACCCATCAGAATAACGGCAGATTTTTCTTAACAAACCATCAAGTCAAGAAGAACATGGAGCAAAGTACTTCAAGTCTTGTAAGAAAACAAATTCCAACCCAGACTGATCTATCCTGCAGAACTATCTTTCAAATATAATGGAGAAGTGAAATATTTCCATGACAAAGAACAACTAAAGAATTTCATGATGACAAAGCCAAGCCTACACAGACTATTAAATGATGTTCTAGAGAGGGAACAAATTGATCACAACTCCATGAACAAGAATGGAAAGAACCCATCAAATAGGGCAAACAAACAGAGGAGGATAAGAGGTATACAATAGTAGTCTTTCAGTTATTCTTTTGTGTTCAGCAGCAGAATATTTTCATCAGCACACTCTACAAATGGACTTCTCTTCCACCCTATGGGTCATGATTCCACCTGAGTCTACAGGGTGGATTTCAAAGAAATAGCTGTAGCTCAGTTCCACAACTGACGCCTAGCCACCAGTAACTGTTATGATCATTATGCATGTCCACAACACACTAGAACTTTGTGCAATATCCTCTCCTCAAACTGTTAGAAGTGCTGGTCATTTATTTGCCATTCCAGTATTTATCTTATGTTTTACTCTTAGTACTTCTTTGCTATCATGAAAACTTTTTCTTAGTTCAATTGTTTTGAAACATTTAATTTTCTGAATATTGCTTAATCTTAATTTTTGTTCTAAGATTTAGACTGTATCTTTGACTTACAATTTATTTAAAAAGATATTGTATGATACCTTCTAGTATTAGAAACTTTAAAAAGTATATTTCCATTTTCTGTTGACTTTAAAAAAAATCAGAGGTTTGTAAAAAGAAAGAAAGAAAGAAAAAAAGAAAGAAAGAAAGAAAGAAAGAAAGAAAGAAAGAAAGAAAGAAAGAAAGAAAGAAAAAGACAGTGAGAGAATTTCCTACTTTGGACTAAGGGTGAATTTTTTGCACCAGGGATTCAGCCATGGCCCCATTAAAATGAATTGCAGTGACTCCTACCAAGTTTCCAGGAACTTAAAATACAAAATACCCACCTTTTTCATTTCCTTAACACTGTGTGCCCAAGAAATGAGTTAGCCTCAGTTGAAAGTGACTGCTTGAAATGCACAGACCCATCTGCTCAAGGCCAGGCTGGGCGACATTGTGAGTTCAGCTAGGTGGTCAGGAAACAACTCAGCAACTACTGTGCTCTGCTTGTTTATGCTATGGACTGAGCGGCCACATGGGTACCAACTCAGGATACTTCCTGGAAATCAGGGAGATATTCTTATTTCCAATTAAATTTCTCCTAACATCCTTCTTTTGGTTTGAGATCTAATTCTTCAGTGTGTGAGACCAGATGAAAAACTCTATTCATGCAATAACATCGAGTACAGATCTCAAGTAAATAAAGTGCCTCCCTCCCTCCCTCCCTCCCTTCTCTCTTTCTTTTTTCATTGCCGAGTACAAATCTAAGATTTCTCTAAAGCACATGGTGTCTTAAGACTGGAGTGGTCACAGTTACGCCTGCGGCACCCCAAAAGGCATTCTGGACTGCCAGTGTCTCAGTGGGACAGAACGCCGGAGATGTTGAACGGCCCCTGCCTGAGCAAAGGGGAAGGGACAGATGAGGAGTCAGTACCAAAGACTTAGGTAGACCTCGTTGTCTGCAGCTAAGCGGGGAGCCTGTAGATTGCCACAGCGGGTTCTGAACACTTCCTTCAAAAATGCACCCAGTTCCATCCCACACCCAGCTCCTCTCCCACTGCATCACCATTGGACGGCTTGCTGCTGCGCTCCCAGGATCCTTTTAACACAGCTCACGGCCAGTGGAAATTATAGGAAAGGATGATCTCCTCAGCTGGGGCTACCACCAATGCCGTCACAGCGCGCACTTAGATGCCATTACACAGGAAGATGGATGCTTATTCTTTTTGCGATGCACTCAGGAAAGGGCCCTTCTGCTGAGCTGAAATCAAGCAGTGTTTTGTTTTGTTTTGTTGTTTAGCTTTTGAGACAGGCTCTTGTCACATCACTGAGCTGCCCAGGCTCGGCGGTCACTTGCCGCATCCACCTCAGCCTCCCAGAAAGCCGCCGCTCCGGGTACGCACACCCTGCGTGAATCTGCTCGGCCTTTTAGATGCTGTTTTTAGTGAATGTCTCTTACATCAAATTCTCTTTGCTCCCTACCTGGAGAATGATAGTGCGAAAACCTCCACTAGTTCCATGCATGACGGCTCCATTCTCCCACGTGTCACAGCACCAAGAGCGGTCGGCAGAAGCCCTTGCCTGTGAACTCCAAGCCTTGTACCTCTCCCCTGTTTTAGACTCCAATTGTCCTTCCTGTCTGCTCACATCTATCTCCACTTTCAGCAGAACTGCCAGCTTCTTGAAGCACCGCTAGCAACCCTGTTGGAGTGGTACAGTAGGGCTTCTGTCCTATCACCTCCAGTGCCTAAGTCACTTTGGTATCAGCACTGATTCCAGATCCTAGCAGAGCCTGTAACACCCCTCTGAAAATATACGTCCTGTCCCTGCAGACAGGAATGACGAGCACCGGAAGGCCTCCACTCACCCACTGCTTGGGCACTGTGAAGAACCAGTGTTGTGCTGATAGTGATTTTTGGTTCACAATAATAATGATGGACTTAATTATAGGTGTGTCTTATGATCTGTATGTTTGCATTTGTATTTAAAATATTGTATATGTAAAATGTTTATATAACATGTAAGTATGTAGTGCATTTGATGAAATTATGAGGTTTTCTTGATTGATTTTATTGTGTTTACAGTGTTCAGAGTTAAAGGAATCACTTCTACTATGCCATATGGCATACTGAAATTACATAGGTCTTAAAATTAGATGGGTTTAAATATAAATACCACTTTGACTAGGTACTCCAAGAGAATTGCAGAAGTCATATAACCACCCAGAACCTTTAGCAGGAATACCGTTAAGTACTTTATAGATTTGTTGTTAAAATTATTTAAATGATTTTGTAAAATGTACAAAACTAAATAGTAGGCAATACCATAAAGAAATTGCTATTACTAGCTTATTAAAGCAGGACATAAAATTTTTACTTCACTTATGCAGATTTTGATATCAGAGGAACTGAAGATATAGCTCAGTGGCATAAACATCTGCCTGGCAAGCGCAAGGTTCCAATTTTGATCTCCCGTTCTGGAAAAAACCAAAAAGATGATTTTGATGTCAAAGTAGGAAGTGGAATCGGTCACAGATGTGTGTGTGTGTGA